TTATGTAACAAGCTGCTTTTCTTGGATTTAACGGCAGCTGTTATTCTTAAGCTAAGTATTTGTGCTTAGGAATGTGTTTATATCTTAAATGGTTTTTCTTCTACTGTAGCTCTTTTATTTGGTGTTGGTGGTACTTTAATAAAACACGTAGCTCTTACTGACAAGTAGCAGTGAGCCTGCTGTTGTCATCCGTGCATTAGTGTTGAAATAAAGAGCAGGGTCTTGCGGATGTATTCAAATTGAATGGTGCTCATAAATCACTGATATATTTTGCTGGCCTATGGATGAAAGGAAGCCATCACGGAGCAGAAAAAGCATGGCTGATAAGAGCCCATTTTTGTTAATCAAATATTCATTAAAAGAGCCTTTCCTCTGCACACATTTTTTCCTCCTTTGGAAGTTCCCCTGATTGGCAACTGTTGGTAAAGTTAGTTTCTTTTTTTTTTTAACCCTTGAACTTAAGACGTTAAATTTCAAACAGAATATTGTCTGAACCAATTCTATACAATAAAAACCTGTATGCTAAATAACTTGTTCCTTATTTAAAAAATAAAGGAGGGCGCTATGCTCTTTTCCAACATGATGGCAGTCATTTCAGATGATTTATATAAGTCATTTTTTATTTTTTGTCATTTGTTGGGAGTTACTAACCACATTGTAAACTTGCCCCCTTGCTGCATATTTTACATTTCTCTGCTTTACTGAAAATATGAATGAGCTGTCCAGTTCTTTGTTTAGAAAGCAGTAACCTTGGAAGTGTTAGATATTTCAATACCTTCAAAGAATTAAAAGTGCCCATTTTACAATGAAAATTCCACTTGCAGCTGAAAGAGCAGAGAAATTTAAATGGAGCTTTAGCTTCAGCAAGTCTCTTTGAAATTAACATGAAGTTTTTGCTTCTCTGCTCTTTTCCCACTGTAGGTGGTTTTTTCATTGACAGTCCCTATTGCCAGCCTCTCAGCATCGCACCTTTTATTATTCACTTGGGCCCTCAAGATTTCTTCTCTGACTTCTAGAACCATCAGGTTGTGTGGCTCGAAATGGCATTTATACATGTCTTAAAAGCAAGAACAAACGTGGCTCGTTTTGAGGGGTCTCAACTTCAGACATGGAATCTGAGCTTTTCCTTTTTTTTTTTTTTTTTGTTTTTTTCCCTTCCTTGCACTTTGTTCCATTTAATGAAAAGCAATACTTATTCCAAGCCACAGTCCTTTCTTTGAATACATAGCAATAGATGTGTATATATTTCTCCTAGTTATTTCTTTACACTAGAAGGCAATGACTGGTGTGTGTGTGTGTGGCGGGGGGGAAAAAAAACAGCAAAAACCTAGCAGGGTGCTTGATTCAAGCAGTTAACCCTGCTTTGACTTTCACTATTTAAGTACTTCAGAATTTTAATAGAATGTATTTGCATGTTTCCTATAAAAACTGGTACAAAGACGTGCAGTCGTCACTCTCGAAGCAGTAGTGCTTTGTACTATTGCCCATGTCACCAGACATGACATGTAGCAAAAAAGGTGGAAGAAAAAAATGTTTTTTTCCAGAGTATAACTAACTAAATGATATTCTCTCTCTCTCTCTCTCTCTCTCTACTGTATCATTTAATAAGAGGCACAAAAAGAGCAGACCTGAACTTGACTCCCAAATGGATTGCTTTTGTGTCTCTCAAAATTATCACCAAATGATAGGAAAACCTAGAATTTGGTAAACCTCCAGTTCCCCCCCCCCCAAAAAAAAAATCCCCCCCCCAAAAAAAAAAAAAACAACTATGCTGCTCTAAATTTGCTAGTTTTTTTCTTCTTTTAAATATTTGTATGTTGATATTTTAAGATTGTGAATCAGTAATCAGCAATAATTGAAAGGCCAGATGTTTGTGTGAATGTCCTTGTTCATTTAAATGGTATTGGAACATCTGTATGTTGCAGCTTACGACTTTTAAGCAGTTTTCAGCAGGTTAATGCCACTTTATTCTCATTCTCTCCGGACCTTCATAGCCATATGCACTTGTATAAAATAAGCAGAAATATAGTGACTGTAAGCTGAGATCGTGATAAAAAAGGTAAGAGATTTTATTTTCAGCTTAAAAAATTTGTATTGCTTTTTCTAAAAAGTCTCATATACCTGTGACAATCTTATATATGGCACATTTTTATTATGTCTTATTTAACTCTGAATGTTCAAAGAAAAATATTACTTACATCTGAATTCCAACTTTGTATTTTTTTAAAGGCCACTTCAAATGTTCCAGTTAAAAAAGAAAAAAAAAAATTATTTAACACTTTTAAGAAATTGTTTTGGTTGTATCAATAGACTGTTCTACTTCAAATATTTTCTCTTGTGTAGCCTAAAAAGCTGTATTGATATTGCTGTGTGTCAGGTACTGCATTCCTTGCATAGTTGTGGAAAATATTTGGGTAGGTACTCAAGCTGTGACTGTGGTCTGTATTGAAAGCCATACCATGGTTATAGCTATATGGAATAAAAATGTGAAGTTGAATGTGTGATACTATCTAATTAATAAGAGATAAATTATTTCCCTAAACTATTAAAGCTAAATTCCAAGTGAAAAAGGAAAGGCTTTGATGATATTACAGTTAAAATCTGCAGAGATCAATTTACATTAGGCCAAATTAATTCATGAAATGGCCAGGTTTGCTTTCCTCTTGTGGGTGCAGTGGGAGGAGGGGAAGGCAGGCAGGCAGTAATTTAACTCTGCATGAATAAATTGCATTGCTGTAGTTTTCTAAAACTAGAAATTAGGATAGAGCCATCTATAAATAATTACTTTCAGTTCTGTAATCAATCTTTTTACAAATATTCCATTTGGATTAAAATGATTTTGGATTATGGCCTATATGGTGCACAATAATATGTGTAGATTTAAAATGTTAGTGTCTTTTTTTAATTTGCCTTTATATAACTTCACATTATACAAAGTTGCATAGAACAGTACTGTACAACTGCACTACTTGTAGTATTTGAAGTTGCTGGGAACAACTCTTTTTATATAAAAACTGAAGAAAATAAAAAGTAGATGTTGTAATAGCATTTTAGTCTCTCAATTTAGAAGTTAAAGCATAAAAAAATCCTGACTGATGACAGTTTATACTGATGTAAAACAGGAAAATACTTAGTATGCAATATGTAGTGGTAAGCCAGGCCCATAGCTTGTTGTTTTGCATCAAAATGTAACAGCAAAAATAAACCATTTCACTTCTATATGGGAAACATCAGTTTCAGTAAATAACTGCATGTGTAGGTTATCCATAACTCAGGATATGTCTGGATAGAATCAATAGGCAGATACAGAAAAATAGCTCTTAGATATTGTTAGCTTTGCTAATATAGGTCAAAATCTGATCTGGCAAGTGGCCTATATATTTGCACCTGGGGGAATAAACTTAAGGAACTTTACCAGTGACTTGCCTATTAAAGCACATAACCATTTGATTACACTTGCAGGTGCAATTGATGCACCATCAGCATGCCCCATCAGCATGCCCTTCCCATGTGGGTGTGCAGATTTTCATCTGTGGTTGTCTTCAAGGTGCAAACTTGGGGCTCCGTCTGAAGCGCACTTAAAATTCAATTCATTCTTTCTGCCTGTCAGGCTGAGCAATCCTCTGATAGTGGAGCAGCAGGCTGCTCTGTTTCCTTTGGAAGACGTTATTTTATATGCTTCAAGGTAATGTTAAGAGGCATTTTAATGAACTCCTCTTGAGTATTTGCCTTCTCAGGCTTAACTGATGACAGCCTGATGAGCACTGTCCAGTTCAAGGACTGATTAATAAAACGTCTTGCTAACTCTTATATGATCTCTTTCTTTTTGTGGCCTTTACTTGGCACCTTAATCCATTTATATTGGTTTCCACCAGAATTTCCATATCTTTCTGTCATTAGACTTCTAACTCTTCCAATCCTAAACATTCTGCCATTCTGCTCTCTTGAAATTCTCAGTTTCTTGGATCATCTCCTTTTCACTGAAAAGATATCCAATCTCTCTAATGCATTTTTGGTCACAATGCAAGTATTTATGCCTAAAATTGTCCCTCTTGGCTTTGCTCCCCTCCCCAGTAGGATGGATACCTTCTGCTGACATGGGATCAGTCCCTAGTGTGAAATACGTAGTGTACTTAAATCATGTTTCTTGAAGCAACTTTGGAATCAGTAATAAGCTCCTAAGGTGGTAAGGTTGCCTAGGAACCTGTGCCTCACTGACAGAGGGACTTGAGCAAAACATTCACATGTGCTGAAGTGTCACTGATGCAGGCCTCTTAAGTGCCTAATATATTGGTATTTGGAAAAACAGAGGCTCCAACAGTAGTTTCTAATCTAACTGAAATACCATTCTATTATTTGGTGAGTAATGTGGATAACATCTGCCTCATCTGATGTTGTAACAAGTACTGTTTTGCTAAGGCAGAAGTAGACACTGCTTTCTTTTGCATCATACTTGCAGGATTTCTTTTAAAAGTCATCTCACAGGAGAATGGTCCAAAGTGCATTTTCTGTAAGGTTAGAGGTCTGCAATTTTACTGCTGCTGAGCTCTGTATCTCTGGATTTACCTTAAAAGTCAAATACACAAACCTGGTTCTATGTTCTTTGTGCAGCTGCCAAGATCTTTGCCTATTTCATAGTACTTTTTCAGTGAAGCAGAAATGTTATTTTATAGTTTGAATTTCTGGCTCAATTCTAAGAAAGTTCCTTTCAATTAGTACATATAAATAGGATGCTGGGGAAAGCGTGTGTCAATTCTCTTCCCACCTGAACTCTGTAGTTTTAGCTAAGCAGATGCTAGCGTGTATTTTGAGAGATTGTGTCTGGCACGAAAGGATTAAAAGAAACCACAGCTCTCCACTAAAGAATTGACCTGTTCAATGTATTATCTGGATTGGAGATGAATGGCATTGACTTTGGAAAGACAAATATGAAATTGAGTGGTCTGCTTGACTGACATCAGGGGAAGTGATGCTATCTACAGGGATTAAAATACAGACTGTTCCATATATAATAGTATAATAGTATTTGTCTTTTGCTGCTCTTGCATATAAAGCGATAGTCATGCAGGTGCTTGCTTTCCCTTGCTACTAGTTTGGGTTTCAAGGAACCATGTGAGTGAGAAATGACAAACCAGCCCACTCTGTTGTCCAACCAGTGTTTGAACTGCCCATACAGGACAGCAGTTCGCTGTGGCTTATCTCCCTTCAAGGAACTTAATCCCAGAATCTTGACTTCTTGTGCAGCTGTAGTACTGTTTTAAGAAGAGCAGTGCTGATGTGACCTTGCTGTGAGGTCATAAATTCTAGAAGCAGTGTTTCTCTTAATATTTCAAAATAGGTGAAAGATAAATAGAAGCTTTTTAAAAAAAATCTATCAGCACATGACTTCAGGAAACACCTGGTGCATCAGCCACATGATACAAATCAGCTGTTGGCACCTCTGCTTTACCAGCTGCGATGGTGAACTGAAGTTCTAAAGAGCAGTCTTTCCAGATGGAAAACCCTGAATACTGTACACTCCTAATCATACCTCAAGCATTTTCCTTCCTGATGGGTGAGCCTTGGCTGGAATGCTTGTCACTTCCCAGATCTGAAGCTGTGAATTTCAAAAGAATAAGTTATTTGATGAAGTAACTAAAGTCTTGCTTCTCCAGCCATGAGAGATTTCTCCAGGCATGTTCTATCTAGTTTTAAGGAAACCAGGTTGGTTTGGAAGGACGGTGCTGTCTTGTGCTAAAGTTGTTTAACTGTGATATAAATAACATATAAAAATCTTCCCAATATAAAAAGCTTTCAAGATTTAATTCCATCATCATTTGTTGCTTGAAGCTTGTGTTGCAGCATGAGAGAGAATGACTGTGAAAGGGCTCGGCTAGCAAAAAGCATGGTGAATGATGCTTTTTGCCATCATGTCCTCTCTCTGCCAATGCTTGCTGTCTGCTGTATTCCTTAAACACACATTCAGGAGCTGGAATATGGTGATCTTATTCCTGGGCATTGTGCCACCCGGATGGAGGGAGGCCAACCTGTACCCATGAAGTCAATGCGTAACATGTGGCCTCTGCTGCCCAAGCAATTTCTGTTGGACACAGTGCACAATCCAACCCTCACAAAGGCAATTTAGTTCCTGGGTAGGTGGTTCCTAATCTGTCTAATTTGCTGTCATGCAGCCAATGTGAGTTAATTAGATGATTCAGCAATTGTCATGGCTCCCACTTAATGTGCTGTAAGCCCTGCTGACAGGACTTTCACTGGAGTTAAATGCCTTTGCTTCTGTAAATTTCTCCCCCCTTTATCTTTTTTGATCTCCTTCTAGCTTCCCAGTAAATAACTGATTCTCTCGAAATACAATACTTTTATAACACAGATGTTTCTGGTATGAGATTCTCAATACTTGTAATCAACCTATGAAGAGCTTCAGGGAAACAAAAAGTTTTCCTACCAATCTTTTAACTACTTAATGCACCAAGAGACTACTATTTCCAGTCAGTTACAAATAACTGCAACAACTATCTCGGTATATCTGCTCTCTGGAGAGAGGGCTAGGATTCTTTCTTTGAGAACACTTGCCTTCTGGCAGGAAAAAGATCTAAAAAGCGTCTTAATAAAAGACGATGCTCTCTAGCCACTGAACGAGCTTAATTAGGCAAAGTTGCACAACTCTAAAATTATTTGAGGGTTATGCCTTTCATTGACTATTGACTAATTTCCCTGACCACAAGTTCCTTGCATTATTAGGAAGCAGAAAACGAAGGAGCAGCAGCATGAAATTTCCCAGGTGGTCTAGGAAATAATTTGGCTATTCAACTATTGGACATCAATTTATTGGCCCTTCTTCTAGTGCTGCTGGCATTTATTGCTATCTGGGAGTTAATGTACCATCCCTGATCCAGTCCAGCAATGTCATCAAAGAGTGAGTCTGGCAGTCACTGTATTTTCAGTGACAGATCCCCTGAAAGGAACAGTCTAAGAGCGTATGGTCCCTTGATTCCTTTTGGGATTCTGCATCTACCTCTCTTGAGAGCCTGCAGATCACCACAGGCTAGAGGTCTGATTCCTGAACATCTCTCCAGAACTGTGTAAACGAACAGCAAGCAGACAATACTAGTATTTCAGTGTTTAATCAGATATATTTGCAAGTTTCCCTCTGCCTCCTTTGCTCATTAGGCTAAGATACAATCATTCTGTATCAGAACTTGTTGCCTTTAGCTGAGTTCTCTGAGATAGCTGCCTCTTACTTAATCAAGGGAAAAATATGTCACCCAGCTTCATATGAGTTCCAAGTCACAGAAACAGCTTACAAAGGCTCCTACTTCCTGAGGCTCTGGGAAACAGCACAACAACTCTGTTGCGACTGATGCACTGTCTTGGATGCATGATAATATACATAAATAGGAAGTTCAGATTGCTGTTCTCAGTCCTGAAGCATACTGAGACCTCTCCTCTCTGGCATTAAAAGAATGAAAATGAGTTCTGTTGGACTCATGGAATGAGTTCTGCCAAGTGCTGTTGTACTGTCTTAAAACCCCATAACTCAGCGTGAATGTTCAGAGGACATGGGACCCTCTCTAAGCTTCTTGTTGAATAAGTCTCTTGAAAAAATCAGATACTTTATTGACTTGTTTAAAACAAAACAAAGGGATGTTTTAGTCCCTCCTTAGCTTAATTTGTCTCATGTAAAGCCATACCTATTCATGTGCAGGGTCTTTAGTGCCCCCTGAAACATCATTCTTTTTTCTTCCTGCTCATAGGAACAGGAGTGATTCAGCACTTCATTTGGTTATTTGTTTGTAATTGAAGTTTAAGATAACATACGAATATGAAAGTGACAAGTATGCCTATCCTTTAGTCTGGGGTCTTCTAGAAGAGAGGGTGCCCATTCTGCTAGGCCTGTCTGGTAATGTGTAGGCAATGTACTGTCTTGCTAAAATTGGCTGTTTGCTTTGTAAGAGGCCAGGTCATCTCGGCATAAGGCTTAAATTCAGTAAAGTGATTTTTTTTTTTCCAATTCCTGTGGCTGTGTGAAATATTCAGACCAAATATTTACCTTACTGTTTAACAGGAGTTGGACGATTGTGATAACGTGAAAATCTGCAGTTCTAAATATAATTTCTTATTCTGCATACTGTTTTAGCTTGTATTTGGTGCCTTAACTTTGCACAATCTAATGTCATATATACTGTACCATAAGGAATTTAACGGTTAAGTGTACTTTAAAAGAAGTCATCAAGCTAGTCTACAGAAACTGTAGCAAATACTGAAGCCTTCTCAGTGGGAGAGTTCTCTTCCATGTTTGATTAATAATCCATTGAGAAACAAGAGTTGCAAGAATTTAAATAGCATATGAAACTTTTAACCACAGACTGAGACTGAATTATCTGATTTCCCATTTCAGAGGTTTGTGGCAATAGGACAGTTAAAGGTATAGTCTCTTCTATGCTATGTAAGTAAGAAATATCAAAATGTTTTATAGCTGGCCAGAAGTGGATGTTTGTGAAAACACGTGGGCTACTTCTAAAAGGCATTAATTGGATGTAATCGGAGAGCTGGAATGAGTCAGAGCTGCTATTAAGTCCAAGACAGCATGTGGACTTAAGCCTCACTCCCACCTCTTGTCTGGATCTAGAAAGTCCAGGTGCCTTACGCTGCTTTGCAGTTTGCTTGGTGTAGTGCAACTTCTACTTGAACACAGGTTTGCCTGCTGAATGCATCTGGTCTAGCAGTAGAATAGATGGAGGTGAGAGAGAAAGAGAGAAGAAAAAAATGAAGCTAGAATGTTCTTCTCCAGTCTTAAAGGCTGAGCAACATCAGTAGCAAGTCAGAGGAAAAGTTAACTACGGTGTATGGTAAAAACTAGGTTTATGTCTGCTATGGTAAACCAGCAGCTCAGTACCCTAAGAGTAAGGGGAGATGCAATTTTTCTCAATATTTTATGAGAAATTAGCTAAGAGATTTAAGCTATCCATATAGCAGACTGAAAACTGTCAGTCATGTTACTGCAGCAGATTACATTTTTCTTCTGCTTCAGTAACTAGGAACAGGATGGAAAGATTTCAAGAGGAGGAGGAACAGGAGAAATCCAGTGAGCAAACTGTATTTCCTGATGCAGTCTTATTCAAAATAGAAAGACTGCTCTAGGCAGCGTATATAGCGCACAACTGAATTTTGGTAAGGAAAGGAATATTCATAATTTTCCCTAGAGGGAAAGTAGTAACTTATTTATACAGTGCCCACAGTATTCTAGACAACTGGCTTTTAAATAGAACAGCATGGCATCAAGATGCTGTTTCCACAACTGCATGTTGTTATGTACATATTAAAGTTCACTAATACTGATATAACTAGTCATGACAAACGTAAAGTAGCTTTATCCTATCAGAAAAAATGTATTTTGACATTCTGTCCACTTCTGTTTTTTTTTTAAAGCTAGAAGGGAGTTAATTATAGCACTGATCTGTTTCTAAAGAAGTAGAGCAGAAGGTAAGTTTTGACTTCATACTTTGAAGTTGCTACGAATAAGTTGCTTAAACAGTGGAAACGGCCTGAGGTACTTATTTTCTTTGTGCTGATTTCTCTGTTCTTAGAAAAGCACAAGCTTGTGTAAGCGTAATCAATACAAAGTTACTCAGGGTACTGTGTCAGCTCAGCAGTGGACACTAACTGCATCTTAAGTCAACAGGCACATATAAATCAAGCTTAATTAACAGGAACAGAACACTTTGGCAGGTCTTGGATTACTACTGGAACTGTTACAATTTAATGATCTATGCATATGGAAACGTGTATTTCTGCACTCCCCATATATCTTGTAGATCTCTAAATGCATCCTGTAAACTAAAAAAGCAAAATGAAGTCAGTGTAGGAGAGTCTTGTTCATTCATTACTCCCACAAAGAACTGTTTTATAAGCAGAAGAAAAGTAATACTGCTCAAAGAAAGTGGGCTGAAGAACAGTATTTAGAGCAGTGCAGCTTTTGAAAATTTAGTGGTATGTATTTGGTTAGGAAACTCCTGTTTTGCTGGACTAATTTTTTTTTTCCTGTTTTCTTCCAACTAGTATCATTGCTTCCCTGCTCAAAGTTACAGGATAAAGACTAGCGTAGCTTTCTAATAACAGCTGTTGCATAGAAATAAACATAAACTGGAAGACAACAAAGGCTGTGCTGCAGACAGCATATTCAACTATACAGAGCCATTCTCTGGGCAATGCTGCATAATTTAGGCGTGGGTAAATATGTCTTCAGGGGCAACACGACACAGAACAGATGTTTAAAAAATAAAAAAGCCTTGAAGCTTTACTTCTCACTAAAAGAGGGGCAGATATGTTCTTATGCACTTAATGAGTTATAGATCAGAGACCACGACGGCTCTGAAGGACAACTGTTTTAAAGCTAGTTTCCTTTTGGACAGAAAAGGGAGGAAGTTGACTCTGTCTTCCAGTTCCAAAGTGCAATGTCATATTTGTGATCCTAATCCTAAATCAGTATTTACTGATCAAACTAACTAAGCTTTTTAGGTCAACAAGCTCGCTACAAAGCAATTCTGTTCTCCTCTCAAGCCTTTGCAGGGGACAACAACTGGTGCTTAACTACTACTACCGCTGCAGTATATGGGGGGGGGGGGGGGGGGGGGGGAGAAGTGGATAGGACTAGCAAAAGGCCTGAAAATAATATGGCAGATTAAGTCCCATTGGGCTGTATGCTTTTTAAAGTCCATCTCAGTGACAAAGTTGAGCATGAAACCTGTATTTGCCAAACGTATCTGCCCTTTGATGAGGAGAACTATAGAAAGAAGCAGCAGAACTGGAGAGTCTGAGGAAAGGCTGGTGTTTGGGGAGTCTGACTCACCATTTGCAAGCTTATTTTTTCAAACGGGTAAGCTTCCACCCACCAGCAGCCTCCATCTGTCTAATTCATCAATTCAAAAAATTGGTGCAAGCTTGGGCTAAAATGTCCCTGTCCTATAGCCCAAACTACCACCCCCCCCCCAATCCATTTGAAGGAGTTTTAAACAAAAAATCATCAGGAAGCACAGTCCCTCTGAGTTTGCATGCTGGAAGGCAGACCAGAAATCTGGCAATACAGTATAATGTTACTTTTCTGATGACAATAACTTCCAAAAAAAAAAAAAAAAAGGAAAAGAGGGAGACAGTACTTTGGGGCAGTGTTTCATGCTCAGCAAGTTTGTAGAGAAGGAACGCAATTCTATAAATCACTTGTACTGTATTTCTGTTTTTAGACTTGAATGAATTTCACTTTTCCTTTGTGGGTCAGTCTAGTAAGCATTAAAGAAAAAAAATCTATTTTTCTAAATCTTTCACCACTAGAGAGGTCTGACCTGTAGGCAACAGATGGATTTATTTATCCACAGCGGATAGTGTATTTATTTTTACACTAAGATTGGATAATTGGCATTGAATAAGAAGTATGAGCTTTGAACTATTTAAACCTTAAAATGCTATCAACAAATTCCACAATGAATAATATGGTGGACAATTCCATCTTTCTTCCCAGTAAGTTTCTCTCTTAAAAGTTGTTACCCAGAAATAAACTTCTGAGTGGAGCAGAAAAGATCCTTGTGGTCTAATTACAGAATACTTTCAAAACATTTAAGATTTCTCCCAGTTTATATTGCATAGAGAACACCGTTTAAACTTTTCCTAACTATACTGTAAATAGCCTAACGTCAAATAAAGCAATTTGGCAATAACCTCAGTTAGTTTTATCATAAAATAGCATAATCTGAATACTCAAATTGTGTCTTAATTTGGTATCAGTTGAGTGGGAAGAAAAATAACTGCACACTGAATTTTAAAGTGGGCTGTATCTACTCACTAGCCAAAAAAAAAGCCTGCAAATGTAAAGTAAATGGAATGCTCTTTGTACACTAAGTTGCTTCCTCATGTGATGCTGTACCTTGTACACTTGGCTTCATTTGACTTCTGTGTTGTGGTTTGTATGCCAGCCGCTATTAGTAAATGTACACAACACCGATATCTGCACTGTAATCTTGGTTCATTTGCCGCTGACTGTAACCCAACGCTACAGACTTCTTTGTATATAAGACCCTAACCATGTTCCACTTGCTTCCAACAGAATACAATAAAGGCTTATCTCTGTAAACAGGAATTAAGTTCTTATAACTGATTTGATTTGTTGCTGTTTCCAGTAAAGAAACTGGCTTTTTCTTTTTTTGCAGCCTGGGAAGCCAAACCACAAAAGCCCATTCTTTGTCAGGTAACAGGCTCAGCAGAAAGATGAGACAAGGTTCCCTACATTGCTCTGTTTTGTCCAAGGTATTATTTTTAAAACTTTGTTTGTGATAAGGGCACATAAAGCACATGTACACTATCTGTAATTAGCAGCATACATTCCTTCACAAAGGTGGTGGTGAATGGAGCACACAAGACTAGTTCTTGTACACGCATGCTAAGCACTGAAGTTATGCAAATACCATCGGGTGTTAGCCGGTGAAAGCAGTAAAATAAAGTCCAGAGAAGGCTGTGATGAGATTAATCAGGAAGACAAGTTTTACCTCAAATGAAAATGAGGCATTTCCTAGCATGTAGTTAATTACAAAAACTGGACATCTATTTTCTTAAAAGATTAATTACATAGAAAGAAGTAAAGTTTCTCTCACAAACTTGTCTTCCTCACTTAACTCCACTATATTTCCTAGAATGTTAAATTCCTGTGGTCCCAGTTTGTCCTTTGAGGTCTCAAATACATCCAAGCAACTTTCCTGTCCAGGGACATACAAGGCACAAGTTGAGAATACTGCCAGAACTCTCCTGTGTGAGTTGGTTGTTCTTGTTTTTTCCCTAAATGCTAGAACTCATGCTAGGATTTACTGAAACACACCATTTCTTTTTTTTTTTTTTTTCCTTGTTGCCCTGGAGTTACAGAACACAGTTTTACTCTATTCTGTTAACGCAGAGAAGTCATTTTATCATCTCCCCTTACCTTGTCTTAGAAGTGGAGGTTTTTTGGTTTGTTTTTGTTGTTGTTTTTCTGGTCTTTCTTGAATTCTGCTTTTCTTTTCAAGCGGTCTAAGTGCAGAGGTCATTAATCAAATTCAGAGGATACCAACCTGGAAGAAGGATTAAAATCTGGTGTGAGCTGACTGAAACTGAGAGTGGTCTCAATAAAAGTAGTTGTTTGCAAACCCACAGCTTAGTGTTATGTGACAACTGAACCAGGACTCAATATGAGACTTGTGCATGCAACAAAACAGCGTGCAGCCAGCTGAGTGTGCCGTTGTGCGGCGCATACATAGAGTCAGTTATGCACATAAGAGCAGGTGAGGGAGCACTAATCTAAAACTCACTAAACCCTGTTTCATTTAAAATGCAGAGCTACCTCAAATATTTAGCAAACACCGTCCATACAGAATTGGCCCATGGTCAGTTAAGGCAACATCATTAACACTTGCCTGAAACAGAGGCCAGTTTTACCCAATATATCAGAGTAAAACCTTAGCAATGTACATGCCCAATGTTAGCTAGCTTACTAAGAGTTCGTTTAGAAAGCTACTCCAAGATTATCGTTTCAGAGGTGTTGAGAAGGCTGATGGCTCTTCAGCAGTAGCCTGGCAATTGCTGGTCAGTGACAGACAAGTGAAATGAGCTAGGCCCACTCCAGAAGCTGGCTGATGTTCTGGGGCTTCACAGGAATGAAAGGTGAGGTAGATAAAAGACTGAAGCATGGGCTGAGTAATACAGTAATGATTCCAGAGTGATAAAGGAGTCTGTCCATTTTTTTTATGGGCAGAATGCACTGTCTCTCACTATCACCCCAAATCCAAACACCATCAACCTGCAGATGAAAGCACGCAGTGAAATCTGCATTAGAAAGAAAAGCTCCTTCTCTCATAGTCATTCCCTCCCTGCTGTTGCTTGACTTCTATAGCCCCATCCCATGTTGGCACAGCAACAAGGGAAAAGGCAGAGGGAACCAGCTGCTTAACAAGCAGGAAGCCCAGTTTATCTTGCTGCGATCACCATCACCTTGAAAAAGGGTGTATTTCATTATGGAGGAAGCAGGAAAAATTTGATTTATTGACTGCAACTAACCAACCAGCTTGTTGCTGCCACATGCAAAGAACTGACGCATCTGTAAAACAGCCCAGAAACTCAAAGAACCAACTACAGTCTCACTTGTAATAAACACACAACAGTGTAAATTCCACATCCTACTGTCACTAAATCTCAGCAGGCTGATTTTAGCTACGTGCCACTTCCCCTTTCTCATGAATAAAGACAGATCCCAACAGCAACGTTGCAGAGTTTTCTAGCAGGCATTTCAGACACTGAGGGTGGAAAAAGACCTCCCCCCCCCCCCCCCCCCCCTCACAAATCAAAAGCATTCTTATGGTCTGTGTATAGCACACAAACATGAAACCATCCCGCATGCTGGTCTGTTTTAAGAGACTTGCAAAACAATAACGAAAAGCAGTTAATGCAGAGTGAAAGTAGAGTTCTTTATGGTTGAGATAATATTAAGGAGTCTGTGTTCACTAGACTGGCAGACATCTTCCACAAGGCTGTTAGAGCCAGTTGATGATACCAGGTTTCCTTGAAAAAAAAAAATAATAATAAAAATTAGAAAGCTTTCATCTCAGCTTTTAGGTTTTTGAAGCCATATATGCATGACAGTCTGAACCACAGGCCTACTTGCCACAGCAGACCAGTCACTTGCGTTACAATTATTAGCTGGCACTCAGAGCAAAGACAAAAATCAATTCCTGTTGTTCCACCAAGAGCATATAAGAGGCCACAGATTACAAAACTGTCCACTGGATACCAGATGCAATGGTCTAAATTTCATCCACAGACCAAAGTCCCCCACAACTAGTGCCATCTTCTTCAGTCCCAACAGCAAACACCTAGTCTCCCAAAGGCTAAAAGACTCCATCCAATGGCACATCCATTTACTTGGTACCACCTAGTCTCACCAAGCAAGCTTTCAATAAAACAGAATAGTAATTCCTTCATCCTGACTGTCACCTCTGCTAAGCTAGCAAAAATTCTTTGTAGACAGCACCTTTCTGTCTGCAAGAAGAGAAATGTCAGCTCACTTAATTACTCACGATGTAATGCTGACTTCAGTCCTTTCCTGGAGGATTGAGTTCCAGCACGTCAGCTAGAAAGAGTTTGTCTCTTTCCCATTTGCTAAGCTATAACTCATCCTTCCCTTTTGTCAGTGCCCCCCCCCCAATCCTGGTACACTCAACTAAAAATAAAAATAAATAATAAAAAAACAGAGCTGCTGATGCTTTCAAGGCTTTGAATTCATCTTCACTTTGGGTTATACATTCCAGCACATTTATTTATTTGTAAAGGCATAAAAAAGCCTGTGTGTACTCTCATTTTAATAACCGGGGGGGGGGGGGGGGCTTTTTCCCCTTTTTATTAAAACAATGCAAAAAGTGAAGCAGGACTTTGGATTTCAAAAAAGGGTCACATATCCCAGCACAAATAGCATTTCCCTCTAGTACCTTTTCCTTGGGTGCTGGCACATGCCAAAGATGTGATTTCCTACTTGCAGGAAAGGCAGATTCAACCCTCTGCTGGTTATACTTTATCCAAGGGGGTTTGTTGTTTTTGT